GGCTTGGGAAGTAGAAGAGCTCCCAGAACCCACTCCAGGTACAATCCAGGTGATGCCACGGGGGCATTAGGAGGGCTTTAATTGTTTATGAATGTACCTCTGCTGGTAATTTTGATTGTATTAAATATTCTCCAGTAATTATATAGCATCTGAAATGACTTGTTAGGAACTGCTTGAAAAATTCCTTGTGGCAGTGCATTGTCGTGTCGGACAATTCAGGATGATGTCCTGTTGACACAGTAGGTTTTGGCGAGCAGCCAAGTGATCAATCAGCTCGGGGCATTTTTCTTGTTAACTCCAAGCCTTAGTCATAATTAGCTTCTGCTTTACCGAGTCTTTATCATGCCAATCTTAAACCATTAAAACTGGATGCATATCTTGCTTTTACAGTTTATACATTTATGATGCAACTAATGCACTAGTCTGTACTTGCTTTGAGTTTGTCTTTACATTCAAATAAAGCAAGCATATAGTACTCATAGATATACTTTGAATACAGCTACAAAAAGCATTAGATTTTGCTTGTTAAAAGGTAGGTCTGGATTTCCTGTCTTCTGTTGAAGTATTGTAGTTCTGTATTGTATTAAATGTTCATCATATATTTATTAATTATACAAATGTAAGAATAAAGGAATCTGCAGAAGGTTGTTGGCCCATGCGAGGCAGCTTCTATTTATATCTATCCTCTCCCACTCATGTGCTTATCCAATCAATGCTTGAAACGTTAGTGAGTTGGCTTCTCTAATGTTACTTGCTAACTTGTTTCATACTAGAGCATTCTTGGAATAGTTACACATTACAGAGAGCAACAGTGGCCCTTGGAAGACCCCCCAGTAGTGAAGTCCTGCGCTAGAAACTGGTACAATATGATTGTGGTGTATTAAGCTTCAGAGGCTGTTATAACTCTTGGATCAATGGGCTTCAGGAAGATGATGCTTGGCGACAGAAACATCACGGCATCCTTAGGATGGCGGTCAGACGGAGCACACAATGCTCTGGAGCATTATCAAGAATGAATAAGTTTTAACCCTTTCCTTGTGATAATATTTTAACAAGACTCCACTTAGAATACAAGAACAAATATAAATGTGTTTACCTTAAAAGTTATAGAAATTTTTTTTGTCAAGACCAGGAAAAATAATAAAAATTATTGAATGTAATGAAATGCCTCTTTCTGTTATGATGCAACTAATGCACTAGTTTGTACTTGCTTTGAATTTGTCTTCACATTCAAATAAAGCAAGCACATAGTACTTATACTTATACTTTGAATACAGTATTGGGAGCCCCAATGGCTCCCTGAAGCTATCTTTGTGAGATTGCTCCATTCTAATGGGTCAAAGCAGTCATTAGAGTTTTGTTTATCCACCGAGGACCAGAACCGAAACCTGGTTCCCGCACAGGCGCAGAGAGCCACCCCACTGGGAAAGCATCCAGAAAGTTAGCAAAACCTTACAGACAACAGGAAGGATCACAGAAAACGAAGTACTGTATTGCAATTACCACATAACTTTACACATCATTCAAACTAAATGATTGGGCCACTTAAAAACTAGCTCAAACCATGTAAAGTTAGTACCAATAATAGAGCCCTGTAAATGTCAGTAACTTCAGATATTATGTATATTCTATAATAAAATGTTCAAATATAGAAGATATCTATAAAGAAACTGTTGTAATGGTGTTTGTGCACACAATTACAAAATCATAAAATTTTTGTATCTTTAAATACTCTACAAGATGTTTTACTGTATATGATTTTGTTGGATAAGCAGATATGGGATCCTCAGGCTATAGTGTAAAATAACAACCATAGACTTAGAAAGGTGACGTACCTGGAACATGTATAGCACAAAATATATATATTTTTTATTTATACAAGAGTTCTTACATTCTTGTAAAGCCATTAGCATGCATAGCATTTCGGGCAGGTCCTTAATCATAATTTTTTATCATAACAAGTGTTGATAATTCTATTGCCTTGATAGGGAGGTTATCTTGAGATGATTTCGGGGCTTTTAGTGTCCCCGCGGCCTATTCCCATTACAGGGGTACCTCAGTTTAAGAGTTTAATCCGTTCCTGGAGACGGCTCGTAACCCGAAAACTCGTAAACCGAAGCTAATTTCCCCATAAGAAATAATGGGAAATGAATTAATCCGTTCCTGATTACCCAAAACCTCACTTTTTTTAAACTAACTTTTATACCTAATTCATCCAAATCTATACAACAAAAGTATGTTCAAGTTATTACTTACCCTTGCTGATGACTGCTGTTGGTGCATGGAAGATGGGGAGGAGGGGGGGTTGGAGGAGAGGTGTTACTGTTTGGAAGGGGAGTCCCCTTCCATTATAACATCAGGCAGTAAAGATTTTTCTAGAGTACACTCCCTGGCACATTTTGCCTGCATACCACTAGGTCCTGGTTGTTGCTCACTGCTTGATTTTCTCACAACGAAACGATCCATTGAAGATTGTTTTTCCCTTCTTTGCAACACTTGTCTGTAGTAAGACATCACATTGTCATTTAAAAGGTCAATGCAACGGCCTGCTACAGCTTTATCTGGGTGAGTTTTTTCAACAAAACTTTGCAGTTCTTCCCATATTTCACACATTTTCTTAATGAGGAAGGGACATCCTCTACTGCCTCTACTCACAACTATTTTCTTAGGTTGAACCTTACCACTGGCTTTCTTGGGACCCATGGCGAGATATATAATAACAACTTTTATGCTCAAATGGCCAAAAATCCGACAAAAAACTGTAAATCCTTGTGAAGAATTCAGGGGTGGGATAGTCACTGGGCACGAGGCACTGGTAAACTGAGGGGCGATCACTGTGTCACCATGCACTAGGTCAGCCCGTACGATGTATCAACAAACTCGTAACCCGATGCAATGCTTCGTATCCCGATGCTAAATTTTGTAATGTAACAAATCGAGCTTGTAACCCGAAAAACTCGTAAATAGGGACGCTCGTAACCCGAGGTTCCACTGTATCTCGAAACGAATTATCCCATAAGAAATAATGTAAATTGAATTAATCCGTTCCACACTCCCAAAAATATTAACTTCAAAATACATTTCATACATAATACACACACATATTTTGTGATGACTTCTCTGGGATACTCTCTCTCTCCTACATTTTGGAGGCATACCACTAGGACCTGGTTGTGGCTCACTGCTTGCTGGTTTTACTAAGAATCTGTCTAAAGACACTAGTTTTCCCTACATTTTAACACTTGTCTGTAATGAGACATCATATTGCCATTCAAAAGGTCAATGCAACAGCCTGCTACAGTTTTATCTGGGCGAGTTTTTTTCCAACAAAATTTTGCAGTTCTTCCCATTCTTCACATATTTTCTTAATGAGAAAGTGACATCCTCTACTGCCTCTACTCACAACCATTTTCTTAGGTTGTACCTTACCATTGACTTTCTTAGGACCCATGGCATGATATATAATAATTATTTTAATGTTTAAAAATCAAAAAAGCACAAGAACAATGGAATTCTTTACAAAGAATTCAAGCACGGTCGTCACTAGGCGGGAAACAATGGTAACCAGAAGCGCTCGTCGACCCATACATGTACTGTATCAACAAACTCAAGAACCGAGGGACACCTCGAATACCAAGTCAGATTTTACGAAGAAATTGAGCTCGTATACCGAAAAATTTGTAAAGAGGGGCATTCGTCAACCGAGGTTCAACTGTACTGTACACGTAAACGCCATTATGTCAACACTTGCTATACATTCCTTTAATACTGTAACAGTCCTAGCACCCACAGGGCAATAATACAAAGACCAACCACAAGCATTGGCAACCCAAATGTCCATTGACATTTCTTTAAACCTCTAAACATTATAATTAATTTTAATATGAAAGCACCATGGTGTGTTCTGGTGTTGATTTCAAGTTAGACATGCTTAATTTTTAAGCTAACCCTTGGCTTTTTTTTTTTTTTTTTTTTACATAGTGGATACAGGAAAAGACAGCTTCTTACTCCTATTAGCAGGCTTAGAGCTTTTCCATCATATAGCTCATGTTAAGCCTTACTCTGCTAGAAGGCTTCCATGACATTAGTCATCAGCCACAGAATTTAATTTTTTTTGCCAATAATGCACCTTTCATGGTGTCTAATTTTGTGTAATTCTGTGTCCTAAAGATGTTACATCTGCCTGAAAACAACAAAGAACAAATTCAATTGAAGTTATCGCCTTAAATTTTAAGATAAACAAGTATTTTACTAAAGATTATTGTAAAGAGCATGCACTTAAACATTGAAAATAAATTCATATTTTTAATGAAATTTGTGGTGTTTAGATAGTTTACATATTTCAATATGTTATTAAAAGTGTATTCGAAGAGTTTTCTGACATTTTTGGGGTTTAGCTTTATGCAGCAATTTATCGCTAAAGTTCATTATTCACAGGTTGCCAACGACTGGCAACTGTGTATTTAACAAAACATGGGAGCGTATGTGGCCGTCCACTGACAACTTCACCTTATGGGGCTATATATAGGGAATGATATACCAGATGCATTATTGGGCAGTGCAGGTGAAATTACAGTAGGTTCATTATGGGCAGTACAAGGTGTATTAAGGTGTATCGTTGGGGTCGTCAAGAGTTGAAATGTAATACGTATTTTAGGAGAGTAAAAATTGTAATGCAAGGAGGGGTATTAATGAACAATTAATGTGTAAAACCGGAATATTTGTGTATGTATTGATGAATGGGGGAATGAAGGCAAATCGTGGATGTTATTGAGATTAGCAGGATCACCTGTAAGAAAAGTTGAGAGATATGAAAGAAGGGCATAGAGAATTGGCAAACATGCAGGGCATTCTTTTAGGTGTAGATGTGGAATTGTTCTGTTTTGGTGTTAAGAAGAGTGACTTGAGAGGCAGTGTAGTAGGCTAGCTGGTAAGAGGCATATGAAGAAAGTGGCAGGTAGATGACTGTTCAACGTGTCTAATGAGAGTTGGTGTTTCAGCTGGTGTTGGGTGACGTGCTGGGTTTGGGACTGCAGGTGCTGGACTTCACCATGAGCTATATGCCCACCTCTGTACCATACATGCCCTTTCCTGCGCCGTCACCAACACATCAACCTTCCATGTAGGTGAAATTCTATCATAAACCTATTCGTTGCTGGGGCGGGTAACAAAATCGCGAGACGTAACTGTGCACTCTATTTAACCTTTAGACAGCTCTAATCACTCTACAATAACCGTCTGTGCTCCAATCGCCATATGCATTTTTTTCTTTACAGTTGTAACTTTATGTGCATTACAATGTAGAACTATTAAATAGCTGTGCTGTTTAAGGGTTAAATAGTATCCCAAAATGAAATTAAGTACCCAGTATTTCCAAATAGACTTATTTAGGAAAGAAAAGAAAACAGATTTACAGACTTGAAGTTTCCTGCTTGGAGAAAAAAGGTTGTTAATTAACCCCCTGCACTGTGCACATGTTAAATTTGTCTTTGTGGTGACTTTGTGTTTTAAATTTAAATCTGTGGTGCACCTAAAGCACAAAAATTCTACGTAACATGTTTGTGTCCCTTGTGGTTTTGCTGTTTTGGCCCAGAGAAGTTGCATTTTTTCAGTAAAAATGAGGTGAGGTGCCACATAGGAATAACTTTGTCAGTTTATTTTCATTTTCTCATGCTATTAATTTAGTTTTTTCATTGTAACGTGTTGTATTGATATGTCAAAGGTGGTGTTCATTGTGTATAACTTTGAAAATATACAGTTGCATGTGTGTAATTATACACACACAGTGTATTTATTCATACTAATATACACTACTGTACTGTATACGTCTATGTAAGCCTAAATCTTATAGTTTCACATAGCACACATTTGTCTGTAAATATATACATGATAATCACTCATTTGCCATTGTTAAAAGTTCAATGGCTCCTAGTATGACCACCCTGCATATTCAGACACTGGATGGTGATGTGCCAGACATGGGCCCTCATCTTTTTACTAAGGGCCTAGAAGGAAAGCGAGGAGGGGGGACTCAAAAAAAAATTTCTCGACATGAGAGATGGCTTCCGGAGGCTTGAGGAAACAAATGTGAGCCCTGTGCATGTGAGAGAATATTTAATCTTTTGATACACCTATGAACATCTTAATGCGCCATGCAGAACCACCAGTCGAGTGTCTTAAAACTCTGTGCAGTGCATTGGATAAGCCTGATACACCAGTTTATTTTAAGAGAACAGTGATAACAATCAAGATTTTTTAAAGTAAATTTGCTGAAAGGGGCATCAATAAATGGTGTTGGTATTGTAACAAACTGTGAAAACACATTAAGCCTGGCCACGGGCCAGGCTTGGGGGGTAGAAGAACTCCCAGCACCCCATCTAGCAGGTTTCAAGCAGGTATTAAAGGATAAATGCTAAATGAATGATTACAGAAAGGCTGTAGGTAAAGAGGAACAAGTTCGGAGTACAGATGAGTGAGATTATTTGTGGGACAATTTGTGTGAAATAGAAATGTGTATTGAATTGCATAAGTAAAGGGAAGGTGTGTATGACGGCAGCTGTGCATGGCCATAAATGAACAGAATCATCATCATAGTATTTATAAGGTTTTTCACATTTACATTCTTTAAGTGGGCCAATACAAATTATTTGTGAATTACTGATATATTCCATCATGAGCCACAAAAATTACTATTGTTTAAATTTAAGCCTTTTCTTAACCTTTGCAATTGTCTTTGTATGTTAAAAGAAATCATGTTCAGTATACAAATGTCTGATACTGAATAACCATGAAAAATTAATAATACAGAATATATATACAGTAGTAGGTTGGTTCTTTTGTAATACAGTATATGTACAATACAGTAGTTATACACATGTCTTCCATTATTGATTCTGAAAATGTGAACTGTACAAACTAAACTGTTCAAGTAACCTGTTTAAATTTCCCTCAGTGTATGATGGTTTTCGTGTTTTTCCCAGAAGGGGAGACTACTTTAGGACAAAGGTTTTGGCTGTACAAACGATATTTCATTTGATATTTGGTGGCCATAGTTTAGTATTTTGTGGGAAATGGATTTTAAGAGGACGACAGTGATTGAGGTGATGATGTACATAGCCCAGAAATATGCTTAGTTCTTAGAAGAATTAATTCTATCCAGATTAGAAGCAGCTGAGAAAGCTAGAATTGGCCCCCTGATTGAATAGGAAGTGCCAGTAGGCCTAAACACTTATCAGAAAGTGCATGGAGAAAGATCAGGGAGCAAAGAGCTGAGGAGAACAGAAAACTGCTAAGAATAGCTAGAAATGAGTACAGTACAATCCTCGAGAGGAGAGATGAGCAAAGAAGCAGTTTTGAAAATGACAGCATCTTAAGCTCAAGACCAACCCAAGCTAATGTACTGCACAATTACGTGAGGTAGAAAGTGGCAGGTTAAGAACCAGTGATCACAGACAATAACAAGGGGGTCTGAAACATTCTCCAAATGCATACTTATTTTAAGTTGGAACTTAAGTGAAGACCAAGTATGTAAAACAAAAGAAGGATAGAAACAACAGTGAGCAACATATTGCTCCTTGGCAAGCAAATTTTGCTTGAGTTCAAAAAAGAGAGTGTAAAGATAATTTTGTCAACCCATCTTGCATTTTTAATAAATTATTATTAAATATGGATTGTTTCAATCTTAGGCTAGACAAATATATAAGTGGGTGTGATTGGGTATAAGTACAGATAAATAAGAGTTCCTTGCATGTGAAAATAGACCTTCTGCAGTTCCTTTATTGTTTTGTTCTAAAAACTAATATTGTTTGCCGTAGTTTAGGATATTTGGTGGCCGTAGTTTAGGATATTTGGTGGCCTTAGTTTAGGATACTTGGTGGCCTTAGTTTAGGATACTTGGTGGCCTTAGTTTAGGATATTTGGTGGCCTTAGTTTAGGATATTTGGTGGCCTTAGTTTAGGATATTTGGTGGCCTTAGTTTAGGATATTTGGTGGCCTTAGTTTAGGATATTTGGTGGCCTTAGTTTAGGATATTTGGTGGCCTTAGTTTAGGATATTTGGTGGCCTTAGTTTAGGATATTTGGTGGCCTTAGTTTAGGATATATTTGGTGGCCTTAGTTTAGGATATTTGGTGGCCTTAGTTTAGGATATTTGGTGGCCTTAGTTTAGGATATTTGGTGGCCTTAGTTTAGGATATATTTGGTGGCCTTTGTTTAGGATATTTGGTGGCCTTAGTTTAGGATATTTGGTGGCCTTAGTTTAGGATATTTGGTGGCCTTAGTTTAGGATATTTGGTGGCCGTAGTTTAGGATATTTGGTGGCCTTAGTTAGGATATTTGGTGGCCTTAGTTTAGGATATTTGGTGGCCTTAGTTTAGGATATTTGGTGGCCTTAGTTTAGGATATTTGGTGGCCGTAGTTTAGGATATTTGGTGGCCTTAGTTAGGATATTTGGTGGCCTTAGTTTAGGATATTTGGTGGCCTTAGTTAGGATATTTGGTGGCCTTAGTTTAGGATAATTGGTGGCCTTAGTTAGGATATTTGGTGGCCTTAGTTTAGGATAATTGGTGGCCCATAGTTTAGGATAATTGGTGGCCGTAGTTTAGGATATTTGGTGGCCGTAGTTTAGGATACTTGGTGGCCTTAGTTTAGGATATTTGTTGGTCTTAGTTTAGGATATTTGGTGGCCTTAGTTTAGGATATTTGGTGGCCTTAGTTTAGGATATTTGGTGGCCTTAGTTTAGGATATTTGGTGGCCCAACTTATATTTCTTGCAGTTTTGCTTTTCTTATTGTCAATGTAGTTAATTATGGTAATAATAACAAACATTGTTGCACAGGTTGAACATGTCTGGAGGTGTGCCATCTTCCAACTCAGCAATCATGGCTTCAGTAGAAATGGCAGACGATCCTGTTGCAAAGGCTGTCATGGAGAACGCCTTGGGCAGAATGCCGCCTAAAAAACCCCGAGTAAGTTCCAGGATTCTCGGTCAGTTGAGGGTTGGATGCCCATTATGCAGTAGTTGTTTGTGTGTTTCGTGTATTAATGGAGTGAAAGGTAAAAAAGTTATTAATGAGAAATTTTGGGCTATTATGATTAGGAAAATACTTCAACAATTTTGAAGGATTGATTAATGTTATTTATTCATATTATTCAAATGATTAAGTCTGGGGTATTTTTCCATGTGATAAAACTAAGATTTTCTTGCCATTGCTGCATAATAGTAAGATTTCAATGAAAGTTTGAATTATTTTTATATATACTGTAGATTGTTTAAAATTTAGTGGCAGTGCAGTATATTTATGTAGAATGAGGCAGCTGGGTATTGCTGTGGAGGATTTTCTACAGTGTTGTGTTGCTGGTTCTTTGTGTAAGATGTGATGAATGAACAAGTGTAATTTCCGAATATCTTTGGCCTTTATTTCCTCGGCCTGCTCTCTCAATTTGACACTCCGTAAAATGTGCAACTGTTCTGCACACATCAGATTTTTAACATATTGGTTGATGCCATTACACTTTCGCGTTCCACAGACTGAATAGCTCGTCACTCATTTTTCTACTGAATGGGTTCCAACGACGCAATACTGAGTCACTCATTAAAACATTTTTTAAAAATTTAAATTTTATCAGATCAATCTGGTAGTGGTTTTAAAATAAGCGCCTTTAGATTGCACACAATTTGATACCAAAATCAAAGATATAACATGAAACTTGATGTCCAAACACTTGAAATATTATAAATAGGCCTATGGTCCGAATATTAAAATATATGTTAAAATTCTATTTATTGTCCTATTATCTTGGGACTAGTTTTAAAATGCGCGCCTTTTTATTGCGAACAATTTGATACCAAAATGAAAGATGTAACACAAATATTTATGTCAGAACACTGGAAAGATATAAATAAATTTGTGATGATGAGCGTCCAGAATTACAATATTTGTTAAAAACCCAGTTATTGCTCTATTATTCTGGGACTAGTTTTAAAATAATCGCCTTTTTATTGCGAACAATTTGATACCAAAACGAGCGACGTAGCACGAAATTTGATGTTATCAAATTGAACGAGTTGAACATTAGGTTGCAATGTACAAAATGGTGCTCGTTCACGGGTAACTTTAGGCTTTTCTGCGGGGAGGCACTCCAGCCTTTTGTACATTTTATTCATACACATCTGTAGGGAATTTAATTGCGAACACAATGATACCAAAACGAGCAACGTAGCACGAGAATTAAGGTAAAAAAATGGAACGAGAATGCACATGTTACTGATTTTGTGCGTTTTTGCCGACTTTACACTTTGCTGTTGGGAGTCACGCTAGGCTTTTGGACATTATATTTATACACACCTGTAGGGAATTTAATTGCGAACACAATGATACCAAAATGAGCGACGTAGCACGAGAATTAAGGTGAGAAAGCTGGAATGAGTATACACATTTGGGTGTCACCGCGCGCTTACCCGCACGGAGGGGCCACTATCCCCCTGTCAACCGCGAGTTTCCACGGAGCGCGAAAGTGTTAAAAATGTGACATACTATCTTGAGGTTATCTTGAGATGATTTCGGGGCTTTAGTGTCCCCACGGCCCGGTCCTCGACCAGGCCTCCACCCCCAGGAAGCAGCCCGTGACAGCTGGCTAATACCCAGGTGCCTATTTTACTGCTAGGTAACAGGGGCATAGGGTGAAAGAAACTCTGCCCATTGTTTCTCGCCGGCGCTCGGGATCGAACCCGGGACCACAGGATCACAAGTCCAGCGTGCTGTCCGCTCGGCCGACCGGCTCCCTAGGTATCAGGTATTCAGATATATCTCGCCCATTCATCATATCTTATACATTTACATAATGTGATTATGTGTTGAATGTCTTATACCTTACTTCAGTTATTTGATGTCATTGACCCAACTGTTGTTACTAGGTGAATATACACGATAATTGTTTCTTAACAACATGGCAATGCTCAAAAATTGCCCCATAATAACTTGAGTACTAGGTATAAGTAATTGGTGTATTTTTTTTTTTTTTAATTCAGGTTGATACTGAAGTAGATGTTCTGCTTAATTAAGGTTTTAAATTAAAAATAACTTTTTGGGAGAGATGTTTGTGTTAAGTAATGACAAACTACATTCGTGTTAGTGCTGTAACTATGTGTATACAGTACTCTATTGTATATTGAAGAGTCTGTTATGCAACTGCATGCAAGAAATTTATTTGAAACTGAACTTATAAAAATCTTTAAAAGGACAATTTTTAAGAAGTGAGTAAAATTTATAACCAAACATAATCTGGACTTAACAATGATGCGGTTATCTTGAGATGATTTCGGGGCTTTAGTGTCCCCGCGGCCCGGTCCTCGACCAGGCCTCCACCCCCAGGAAGCAGCCCGTGACAGCTGACTAACACCCAGGTACCTATTTTACTGCTAGGTAACAGGGGCATAGGGTGATAGAAACTCTGCCCATTGTTTCTCGCCGGCGCCTGGGATCAAACCCGGGACCACAGGATCACAAGTCCAGCGTGCTGTCCGCTCGGCCTAAGTTGTGCTAGGTTTGGCTGTTTGTAGCTTTTATTAGTTTTATTCGTGAATGTTCTGATTGAAGTTCATTTCCTTGGCAATATTAATTTGTCAAAATAAAAGGTGTTGCATATATTGATATTTTGTTTTGAGTTTATTACAACATTTGTTATTTTCTCACAGGTGACTGTACGATGTGAAGTTTGCAATTTGGAATTCTCTTCGCAGACAGTTTTAGATTCCCACTCAGCTGGTTCAAAACATCAGCGTAAAGTAAGTTACTGCTGCCTTTTTTTTTTTTTTTTTTTCACACAAAGTTGATTGGTGGCAGAAGTAATGTTCTCGGTCACCAGATGTCTCCTCCTCTGTGATTAATATTCATTATTGCTTGTTTTGAGAAGATCAGCAGGAGCCGTGAGGATTCAAACCTATGTGCTGGGTACTGCCAGGCACGCTCTAGATCACTGCGCCACAACATGCTCTCATTGGTGCATTACGTTCATGTGATTTCTTTGTGCATTGCTTGTTTTATCGATTAGATTTTTTTGTGAAAGTTTTTAAGGCAACTTCCTCCTTCACAGCTAGTTATTAATGCCGAAGGCTGAGAACATTACATCTTTCCTTATAGTGATAGTTAAACATAACAGTTCCTTGTGTTGTGTGATAGGCAAACATGGGAGTTGCTTCCATTGTTGTGTAGGTAATGGAAAGTACCGAAACCTTCAGCAACTTTTTTTTTTTTTTTTAAATATATACAAGAGTTGTTACATTCTTGTACAGCCACTAGTACGCGTAGCGTTTCGGGCAGGTCCCTGGAATACGATCCCCGCCGTGAAGAATCGTTGTTACAACCAAGTACACATTTTACTGTTGAGTTAAACAGAGGCTACAGTTAAGGATTTGCGCCCAGTAAATCCTCCCTGGCCAGGATACGAACCCACTCAACTGCTTGAGTGCTCGACAGCTTATTATTTAAGCAGTAGCGCCAGTACAAATCACTGTCTTCAATGTACTGTAAGAAATTTCTGCATAGCCATGCTCATCCAAGCTATCAAGATGGAAGTAGCAACCAAGAATGATGTAATTTTTCAATAAAATATTGGTTTTACTAGTTTATGTATGAGCTGTGATCAAAATTTATTGTACTTCCAGGCCTTGTTTTGGAGTAAACAAATTTCTGATTACCCATGATAGAGATCTGGGGTCTTTTGGCTCAGCTGTTTAGGGCAGTATGACATTCCCCCACCCAGTCTCAAGTCTGAATTGGTTTGTATGCATTTTCTGTGGAGAACCCCAGGGGCTCCCTGACACTTCAGGGAGCCCCTGAGGCTCTCTGAAGACCTGGAGGCTCCCTGAAGTGTCAGGGAGACCCAGAGGCACCCTGAAGTGTCAGGGAGCCTCTGGGGCTCACCCAGAAGCTGGTGTTTCGTTACATTCAACACTGGTTTTTTTAATAGTGTGGTGTCGAGTTTGTGTGTCACCCTTGTTGTGTGTTGTTTAGTGTCAGGTTGCTTTTAACTACTAATGTTCAAATGTGGATACTGTATTGACCCTCATTTAGCCCTCTTTTTGTTGTGGCTTATGATACAACGGCACATTTGAGGATCCATCCACTATTTTACCAGTGCTTGCATTTCTCTGCTTTAGCTGGTATGGGTTCTAAGCTGTCATTATTGAAAGCCTTTGTAATTGTCCTCAGCTTATAGCTCACAGATAATGGAAGATTTGCTTTTGAAGTCGTAAGTTTCAGAAACTGCCTCTTTTTCCGTGAAGCATGGTCCAGTATTGTTGTGACTGGCCTGGCACCATAGATATGGCAGTTCTGGCATCTTACCCTATATGCTGGCTAGGATGAGGAGTTGTTGTCCCCTTCACAGGTGGAGTCGTGCACATATTCGGGTGGCACACTCGTTTTTGTCTCTTTTGGATTAGGTAATTTTTCTGGGGCAGTGTTCTGAGGCTGAGCCTCTTCCTGCTTGCAAGCCGAAAAAGCACAATTTGAAACTTGGTGCAAGGAGGCTTTCTGGGTTCGCTTTAATTTTTCATGGTCCTTTCTATTCCAGGTAAGACACATCTTTGTACAGGAAGGGAATTTTGTATCACCCTTCTAAGTTCACTTACGATTCCTTCTTGGATCAGCCCCAGATCTTGTTCAGTGTTCCTTTTACTGAGGCACATGTTCTGGTCCTTTGCATGTACAGTACTATCAGTCGTGCCTTGCTTCTGCTCAGGCACAGTTGTACGTGTCATTGTCTGTGTTGCAGGGGGAGGGAAGACATGCTCCTGAAGTGGACCCATCTATCTTTGAGTTTGGGGTCCTCATCCTTCTTGGGTATAGTGTGAGGCCCCCCTGCCTTTTCCTGGTTGGCAAACATCCTTCCATTTTTAGTGGAGAGATAGTACTCCTTGTTTTAATCTTTGGTTTTTGACTGGAAAGAGGTCTCCCCCCGTTTACAGTGTCTTGTCGTAGTGGGAGTGGCTGTGATTAGCAATTTTATATCCAGTTTGTCCCCTTGTCCTTGGCTTTAGTTACTGATGACATTTAAGGCTCATTCTTGCTTAGTTGAAGATCAATACCTCACTTCTCGGGAGACTTTTTTTTTCCGAGCTTGCTGACCTGGAAATTATATACCTTGTGATCAACATCATTAATTACTAAAGCCAGAAATAAGAAAACTAGAAGTCATGCTATTGATGTAAACTACAGAAAGGCTGTAGAAAACATGATGATGATAAATACTTTTTTATCCTTAGCATTGTGAATGACTGGAAAAATTCTCCAAGAGGAGATTTATTATTAAATATACAAAGAAGACAGGACACCATGAGCATAATTCTTGACTTGTAACTAAAAATTAAGCGATAACACACACATTTTCTCTTAATTCATTCCTTCTAGCTGTGTTATATATTATTTAGTGGCATATTTGTGATTATGCATCAATTAAATGCTTGATGGGCTGTAGTCATTTGTTCTAACTGAAATTTGATACTAAGTACTTTTGCAGGTTAAATCGGCAGATTTATTGCGGACTTTAGAAGAAACTGAGAAAGGGTTTGAGCGGGATGATGTGAGCGGAGTGATCAGATGTGTTGTGTGCGATGTAACGGTCAACTCGCCTCAGCTGTTAGCGACACACATTGCAGGAAATAAGCATAAGCAGCGTGCAGCAAAACGTGCCAGTGGCTCCAGTGACCCTCCGCCTAAGAGGCCATGTACAACAGCACCTGGTAAGTAGTCTGTAACACCTCACACTTCACCTGTCACTTTAAAAGTTGGCCAAGAGAGTTGCACACTTCCTCTTAGCCCTGGGCATGAGAACTGCAACAACTTCAGAAATCACTCTAGGTATAAATACAGGTGATTCCTATTAAATACCAAGTAACTCAAAACCTGTATAATTACAATGAAAATATATGGGAAAACTAGAATTAGGTTCCAGAGACCTCCAGATGTTCATTGCTTCCCATTCTTTATTTGTCAAAACACATACATTCAGTGTGACTTTAATTTCAACACAGAAATCACAATAGCATGATACAGTATATCAAATGAACAAATCCACAAGGGCCGTGATGAGGGTTCGAACCTATGCCTGGGATGATCCCAGACGTGCCTTAGTAAACTGTGCCACGACAAGGTTAAAAGAATTGCAACCTGGAGTGCTACTGCCCTCACGAGGATCCCGCAGCTTCTCTGAAGCACAAACTGTGGTTTTACACAGTTTTCCCATGCACCCGGGCTCCGTTAACCAGATTCTACCTGCAGGTAGAACCTCTACATTCTACCTGCAGGGTTCTACCTCTACCCCCTTACTTCAATACACTTCAATACATTGCCATGTCGTGGCACAGTTGACTAAGGCATGTCTGGGATCATCCCAGGCATAGGTTTGAACCCTCATCACGGCCCTTGTGGATGTGTTCACATTAATTTACTTAGGTGATCATGAAACCTATTCCAGATAATCAGTAAGTTAAAGTACCATTAATTGAAAGGACTAGGAATAGCTGGAGACAAGGAAGTTAAATATTCCTCAACACAAATACTATTGATTAGCAGCAAAACACAACCTCCTCCCAAACCCTGGTTGATATATGCACAACACTGGAATATATATGCTGTATAAGATGTGTTACTTATAGTATTATATGAATTCATTATCTATTTCTCCCATCTCTCATTATTTAAGAAGAGATTACTTTGTGTATGAATAGAATGGATGGTTTGTGTACCACCCATGCTATTATAAATACTGTCTGTTCTGTCTGGCAAGTCTATTTCCCTGAGAATTTTGCATCTGGTTATCATATTTTCCCTGTTTCTTCTCTCTTTCAGTGTCGTGAAGTTTAATTGTTTTTCTTTCTCCCTTCTTTTGAAAGATCTTGTCTTAATGATCATAATTTCCCTTCCTCATCACTTTGGAATTTTCTAACATTCCTCAGTACTTCCATCTGTTTAGCACCATTTAGGGTGATCCTCAAGGGTCAATATTTCCCTATTTTATAGGGAATATTTTCCCAATTCTCTTGTAGTCGCAGACATTCTCATTGGTTGTAAGACCTTCCACGAGCCCAACAATTTTATCTACTACTTTTGCTTCTTCTACGGCTCTTTCTGATCTAGATATTATCGCCTTTTCTTTGCAACCAAAAATTAATAGGGACTTCGATCAACTGTGTTTTGCACCAATTTCGGGTTTGATACCAGCTCCTTTCTGACTTCCAGGCTAATGTTTGTTTTATCCTGGTTGCTGCCATTTTTGGCTTCATTTACTGCTTCTTTTTTTTCCTCCTCCCTGGCCACTTTTGCATAGGTGAGTTGCATATCGTTCTTGTACTGTTCTATTTCCTGTGTAACAACCTCCATCTATACTGACCAAATTTGTTTTTCTTGTTGGATTTCCTTACCTAACCTATTGTAGTCATTCATGTTTAGATTTGCTTTAACTTCAAAAGGTAATTTCAAGACTTTATTTTTCTCTTCCATGGCTTTGTATTTAACTTCCCAGTGATTCATGTCTTTGCATAATTCTTTCACTAGCCCTTCAAGATCTAATACTCAAGTGTTCATTACTTTCTCTCAATTTACTGATTATTTATACATGATAGTTCATAATAATATCTAATTTTGCCAACTTGTTGTGTAGACTGCTTATACAGTGGCACCTCGACTTATGATTGCCCCGACTTCGATAATTTCGAGTTGCGATGTAAATTTGATCGAAAATGCGACTCGACTTACGGTAGTGTCGTTGACTAATAATATTTGTTGGTATACGTTTGGGTCGACCGAGCGCGTGGTTCCCGGTCACGCGGGACCTGCGGGCCTGCGGGCCGCTCCAAGCAACAGCCTGGTGGACCAAACTCTCACAAGTCGAGCCTGGCCTCAGGCCGGGCTTGGGGAGTAGAAGAACTCCCAGAACCCCATCAACCAGGTATCAACCAGGTATCAACCAGGCCAACCTGCCTCAGTTTACTAGAGCCGCCCACTTAGTGACGATCACGCCAATAAGAAATTCCATTTTTGTGGTGATTTTTTGCTTTTTGAACATAAAACTGATTATTATATATCACGCCATGGGTCCCAAGAAAGTCAGTGGTAAGGTTCAACCTAAGAAAACAGTTGTGAGTTGAGGCAGTAGAGGATATCCCTTCCTCATTAAGAAAATGTGTGAAGTATGGGAAGAACTGCAAAGTTTTGTTCAAAAAATTCACCTAGATAAAGCTGTAGCAGGCCGTTGCATTGACATTTTAAATGACAATGTGATGTCTTATTACAGACAAGTGTTAAAATGTAGGGAAAAACAAGTGTTTTTAGACAGATTCTTAGTAAGACAAGCAAGCAGTGAGCCACAAGCAGGTCCTAGTGGTATGCAGGCAAAACATGCCAGAGAATGTATCCCAGAAAGGTCATCACTGCCTGATGTTATAATGGAAGGGGACTCCCCTTCCAAACAGTAACACCTCTCCTATTCCCCCCCCCCCCCCCCCTCCTCGTCACCATCTTCCATATGCCATCAAGAGTCCTCCATAAAGGTAAGATAAACATATGTACTGTATTGTAGTTAGAGAACAAAATTGTATTCAGTATAATATGTATTTGTAAGTTAATATTTTGGAGGGTAGGGAATGGATTAATTCAATTCCCTTTATTTCTTATGGGTAAAATCACTTCAACTTATGATATTTCGACTTACGATCCATCACTGGGAACGAATTACCATCGTAAGTCGAGGCCCCACTGTATTACCACTTTAGTGCGAAGACGATGCAGTATGGCGTCAAAAATGTATTAGACGAATCTGCGGGAATGATGCATCGGTCCGTTAAAAATTTAAAAATTGCTAAAATTCAGGTTTTATCTGATTTTTGGGGGACTGGTTTTAAAATTGGCTGCAATGTCTTCCCCTTTTCCGTGATGGTCCATGTGGCACCGAGGCAGCACACCCAGGAGGTAGGCCCATTGGTAGGTAGGTATCGTCTCATGCTAGTGACTGCTCCTGCCTCCCCTCGGGTCCCCAGCGTGTGAACATTCTATTTTCCTCGGCTATATTTCTTACTGTGGCTTTAAAAACTCTGCATTTACTGCAAGATGGATAGTGATCAAGATCAGAGTCATTCCAGGAAGAAATCAGTTGAAAGAAACACTTCAGAGAGAGACGCCAAGTATAGTACACCAAAAGTACAGTAAGGGTGATGCACACCCTCAAAATTCCAGGCTATATGTTATGATTTATCTGATATGATGCCTGACAGCTGAGTGGACAGCACTTCAGATTAGTAGTTCTGAGGTTCAGGGTTCGATCCCCAGTGGAGGCGGAGACAAATGGGCAAAATGTTTTTTTCACCCGGATGCCCTGTTACCTAGCAATAAATAGGTACCTGGGAGTTAGTCAGCTGCTACATGCTGCTTCCTGGGGGTGTGTAACAAAAAGGAGGCCTGGTCGAGGACTGGGCCGTGGGGACGCTAAGCCCCGAAATCATCTCAAGATAACATAAAGATATATAGAAAGTGCTGATAGTGACACTGATTTAGATACTTTAGATACTGTGTGCTGCACTATGCTACGCTACAGCAAATACAATCACAAGAAACAATACTGGGTGGATAAACAGTAATGCTTGCCACCATCCACTCCATCTATAAAACATGGGTTGAAAATCTTCAGGAAACATTTTCCTAGAGCAGGTGGAGTGGATAAAACCTAATGCTCGACTCATGTCATACTTTACAAACATCATTGGATTGTAAGTACAAAAAGGCTTTGTTTTTTATACATTTTGTATTGTGGTTTATACTTTTATCTTATCGTATTGGTAATGCCGATGGGTGTTCGCTCATGGGTAACACATGGCCTGCTTTTGGCTTGGCTGCGGGTGGGGCGCGTCATGGTTTTTGACATTACAGTATATGCATATACTCCTGTAGGGAATTCTATTGCGAACACATTGATACCAAAATGAAAAGCCTAGAACGAGAACTGAGGTGACAAAATTGAAAAGAGTATACACTTTTCAGTGTATTACCGCATGCTCACGTGGAATGCCTGGCCCACCTTTGGGTGGTCTGACGCTCACTCGCCCAAAGCGCGAAAGTGTTAATTCTTTCCTCCTTGAATCCACAAAAATCTCCGTTTTGTTTTTCTTCTTGCCGGCAGCCATCTTGAATTTCATCGTCTGCACTGTTTACATTAGGGCAACTTTTTTCATCCAATTATTTCACTTCCTCCTGGTACATTCGTGTTATCTCACCTATTTTTCACAGTTAACCTGTTTTACAATACTGTACAGTACTTAGGAATCTGAAATATCGTGGAGCACCTCTGATGCAGGTGTTGACACTGGCTGTGACTCCGGTGTGTGTGTGTGTGTAATTACCTAAGTGTAGTTACAGGATGAGAGCTGTGTGTGTGCGTGTGTGTATGCATGTTCCTTTTGTATGCACAATATGTACTTTTATGGAAGTGTCACCTCTGGATGGATTATTAGGAATCCTTAGCCTCACTGAAGATATTCAAAGGAGCCATTTTGGATCCTGCATATGCACTTGTATCATCTACAGTATATTCTTCCCCTGCCACTTTTGTTTCTTTTTTAGTGCTTCATTGTTAGAAATATAATGTTTACAAAATGAATTATAATAATTTGAAAAAAAAAAAATATGTATTTCTTAAAAGCTGCAGATTTCGTCGAGCTTGGATTCTGGGCATTTTCTGTGGGGGGCCCCA